ACACAGGCACCATGAGTTTTAGAGCCATCAGTGAAGATTGTGATGGCTTGAGTTAGTGGAAAAGCAACTACTGGAGAGGAAAAGGTAATAGGTACCGTTTTTATTAGCTGCAAACGAGGGTCAGAAGGAAGATGGCAAGAGATGGGACCAATCCAATTTTCCAGAGCGTCCTGTAATACATCAGATGTCTGAAAAAGGGGGTCCCATTGAGACAGTTTGAAGGGAACATGTATTGCCTGGAGATCATGGCCGAGTAGGGCCTTAGCTCGGTGACGCCCCTTAGTACAGAGCAAGGCGAGCTGAAGGGCCCGAGAGGTAATAGTTGCCCTAGGAGTATGGGGAAGGTGAAGCCATTCAATGATGCACAGCTTCTTTGTTTTGGGGGCTGTTTGGAAGAGAATAGCTGTGAGGAGAGCAGGTGTGGGCAAGATAGCCAAAGATAGCAAACAGTTGGGGATGATGCGATCCACCCACACTTGCTTTAAGGTATTGTTGACTTGGGCTAGTGCCTCCAAGTGCTGTCTTGTAAGATGGACCACATCTGAAGGATGTTTCAAGCCCGTAAGGGCATGGAATAGAGGGGAAAGGGTTGCAGTAGTGACAGAAAGATAAGGCCGTGCCCAATTGAGAAGGCTTTTGTTGAAGGGGAAGAGGGAGGGGGGAGCGGGGGGGCGTTTGGAGACAAAGAGTAGGTGGGTGGAGTTTCTGCTGGAAGAGCAGGGGGGGAATTAGACAAAGGAGCTGCTGAAAGAGCAGGGGGGGAATTAGGCAAAGGAGCTGCCGAAAGAGCAGTGGGGGGATTTGAAGAAGGAGGGAGGGAATCTTGTTGATTCAAAGTTGAATCAGGAGAAGGATAAAAAATATCAATCGCAGCCATGAGCGCTCTCCAGGTACAGAGAATATGTGGCGCTGCCCGAGGAGGTTGATGGATCCATTTCCCAATTTTCTCCCATGTGGAGCGTTTAAGAGTGCCATCCTCGGAATAAGCTGGGCAATGTTTTTGAAGATAGAGGAGAAAAGAGATTATAGCTTTCCTTGAAAGAGGAAAGACTGTCATGCCATTAGTTCTTTGCAGAGCATTGGCCTTCCTGACTAAAAAATGAAGTTCATCCACATGCTTGGACAGAACTTTGGAAAGTGGGGAGCCCATACTTACGAATGCGCTTGCTGTTGCCCAGTGGGTAGTACGGGAGTCAGGGCGACGTCTCCCTAGAAAAGGAGCACGTTGTGAAATCACGTCAGTTGATGAGTTGCGGGTCCCAGTGCCGGGATGAATCAGCTGACGACCTGCACCCAGACAGACTGTCTGGGTGGGCTCCTCTTGATGGCAAAGATGACAGACACAAAGGTTTCTTTTGGTGAGAGGAAAAGAGCCCAGAGCAAACTTTGCCCCTCTCTTTTATTGTGCAGCAAGCAGGGGGGTGGGTTTAGGTTACATGAGGTTAGACAGGAACAGGAAACACTGCCATATATGGTTAATCCTTACGCTATAGCTGACTCAGGATTTTGTACAGGAACAGGAAACATTGCCATATATGGTTAATCCTTAGTGACTCAGGTTTTACACGTAGCTGTTCCTATAGTGTCACCCTATATATGTATTGTATGTGTATTGGGTTGTCTGTGTACGTGACTTCCTACTGATGTGTCATATCGCAACAATCAGTAAAACTGTTTCAGGATTCTCTATCTAGAGACTAGTGAAAGAACATACAGCTCAAGGACTCTACTGCATCTCTGCAAAGATGTATACGTTGAAAGACTATTGTTTTATAATGCCCCAATCAGAGTGGCAAGGCAGTGCATCTTAAATGCTACAAATGTAACATCCAATATAACAAAAAACAAGTCGTGAATGTTGTATGAATGTTGAAGAAAAGTAACATTGCCAGTATAGATGATTTAATTGGAGAAATATTAACATGCCTTGTGATTTGCCTATGAAGTGGCTGTGTGATTTCAGTATCAGTGTGAAGGAGTTAGGATTGGAAAGATTAGAAGAATGATATTGTTATTCTATTTTACAAAGGGAAGGATATTAAGTGGTAGGAAAGGAGTACAGTGAACTGGTGTGGCGTGAATTTTTGGTCTCCTGTTATACCGAAGGAAGTTCTGGAAAGTAGCAGATGCCGAATCACTGAACATGATCGATGCCTCTGAAGAAATTTTAGAATTAAAGAAGAGGCAATGGAAGGTAGATCGGGGGGAGCAATCTTTTGTTGGTTACAGATTGCGCTTAGTACTTTTTTTATGTTAGATGAGGGTGTAGTGGATGGATTAACAATGCAGAGTCAGGATTTTCTGGGATGGTGAGTCTACCCATGTTTTGACTTTTATGCCATTAGTTTTCAGCAGCTGCATTCAGATTTCAATTTGGAATTCAATTCGTGATTCCGGTTATTGCAAAAATGGAATTTGGGGTGTGGATGATGCTCTGAGGCCTCGAGATGCTCTGGATGGAGCTGTGATGTGGTTCTGTAGATGTCATCTCCTTGTCAGAGTCACTATTTTCTTTGAACAAGAAAGTGGATATACAATATCATGTCTAAGTTGAATGTCACTACCGATGAAAGAGACTTTAAGCACATCAGCAATTCTTTGAATAAATCAACTTGTGCATTGCAAATAAAATATTCAGTGTTAAAACTTAATTGTAGAAGGAACTAAAGACACGTTTCCCCTGACAACCTGTAGATTAAATGTATTAAACTCAGTGACAGGCCATCATTACATTACATAGATACAGAATAGTGAAGTGTGAAAATATTTTAGAGAGCATCTAGTTTGGCCCCGCTATTCAATGAAGGGTATACTAAGGATTTCACGCAGCTTACCATTATCCAGCCTTGGTTTGAAGACCTCCAGTGAAGGGAAATGTATCCATTGACAAGGTGACTTCTACTTTTCTCAGGAATTCTTCCTAATATCTAACTTGAATTACTTCTCTGCATTTTCAACACATTCGTTCTGGTCCTGCCTGCTGGAGTAACAGAGAACAAGTCCACTTCCTCCTGTATTATGACAAGTTTTATATTTCTGAAGATTGCTATCCTATCTTTTTCAGTCTTCTCTTCAGCAGAATACTTACACTGTACATTGAACAATTTCTGTTTTAACTGATATGGTTGCTCTATTCTCTTGTTTTTCATTTGTATAGTATAGGTTTTATTTGCAGTTTTCAATTGTGGACTACAGAGGGATATATAAATATTTGAAATCAATTAATATAAAAATACATTTCAGAAATTTCTGGAGAACCAGAAAACCTATTGAGAGGGCTGCTCTAATCCTGAGAATATTCCACAAGCAAATGACATAGACACAACCCGAACCCACTTCTTTGGTTACTGTGTAGAAACTGGTAATCAGAGCGATGCTGGCTTAAAGCTTTTAGGACAGATAGCTGTTGATAGACCAATTTCCAGGACACATTAAGGAATTTCTTCCATTACTCTCTTTCTGGAAAGAAATCCCTTCATTGGGAGAAGTTATTCATTTTCCCCATGCTGCATATCCCACCTTTGAATGACTGAGTGCTGGTCGTCTTCAGAAGGAAGGAGGGAAAGCAGAAGGGCCTCTGTACTCGATGGCTCTTTAACGTGCATTTTTACATCTCTACAATGCTCACTTCTTTCCTTAAATTATGCAGTCCGAGATGTTGTATAATGTTATTTTTGAAGGAGCATTATCTCTTATTTAGGTCCAAATAATTTGCAAAGATTTTAATAGTTAATAGTATTAGGGCATAGTTTGGGGATTAAAAAATTAAGACACGTTGGTCATATAAAATAGGCTGCAGGATTTGAATGCTTTTGTCATTTATAATCTAGTAGCAAATTACTTGATGTATTTATAGTTAATTTTTTGATGGCTTAATTGTTCTTTAATAATTTAACACTTCAAAATAATTGTCTGATTTTTTAAAATATTGTTCATTGATTCAGGTTTTTTTTAATTGCCAATTTTGAGATCCAGCAACAATTTTTCTTTTTAAAATCTTTCCAAATTATGCTTGGATATTAGCAATTTTTATATTAATAATCCGTAAGCAAGATGAAAAAATATTATTGCACGTAGAGAATGCATATTATGCAAGTGGTTTTTTAAGCTTACATTGTAGTTCTCTCTGTTAAATGCCAACTTTCATCAGGCCCAACTAAGATAATTGTAGAGCATGAATGCTGGGAGTTCTTATTCCAAAGCCTCTGGAGGGTCACAGAGTCTCAATTTCTGACATACAATGTTTTAAAATTAATATGGCCACCAAGAAAATCACAGAAGAGCGGAGCAAGTGGTTTATATATCGGAAGGAATTGCTCTATCGAGTGGCAACAGTGTTTGTCAGAAGAAGGCGTTTTGATTTATTTTGTACTTAGGTCTTCAGGTGCTAATTTCAGCTAAAACTATTGGAAGTTTTATTCTTGTGCATCCTTATGTTGAAATATTATAAATAAGATTTAAAAAATGAAGAGCAAGTAATTTCCTCTTCATGTGAAATATACTTATTCTCATTCCAGTGATGATTTTTTTTCTTGTTGTAAAATGTGCAGTGTTCCTTCAAAAATAATACTTGAAAATCATGACTGTGTGGATCATAGCAACAAAACCATGCACATAATTGTAATAGTCTTAACTGTTAAGCTTTAGGTATATAGGAAGTCCTTGTTTAGCAACTGTCTCAAACAATAATCATTTGCAGTTCCAACAGTGATGAAAAAGTAACTTTGTGACCGTTCTTGTATTTATGACCTTCCCAGGTCTGTAAAGCAAAAACAAGCTTAATGAAGATTGTAAGCACAGTAACAGTTTCACTTAACAACCGCTTTGCTTAATAATCAAGTTGCTGGTCTCAGTTGGGTCATTAAACAAGGACTACTTGTACTATTAATTCAAACAATTTGCATTTTGGGCTTGGAAAATTATATACTATTCATTTCAGTCTGTACCTGCGCTTAAGTGAATACAGAAATCTAACATCGTTAATTTTACTTTCATTCCAGATGGGAATGGCCAGTAACCCAGGTCCCTTTGGGCAACCATTTAGTCAACCTGGAGGGCAGCAAATGGGAGCAACAGGAGTCAACCCACCACTACCAAATAAACAAGGCATAGCAAATAACCTGTCTCCCTTTCCTTCAGATATCAAGAGTATTTCAGTTACCAATGTGCCAAATATGGTGAGTTGCTTGTAACTCATTTGGAGGTTCGCTACAGTACTTAGGGTTTTATTGTCATTACTACTAGGGCAAGATGGTAAAACAATAACAACATAGTATTCCATGAGAATAACGGCAAGAGATATGCAGAAAACTACATTCTAAACAACCTGGAACTGAAGTAGTGATAAAATTTTCTGACAAGCTCTGGGTTATGAAGTTACCTGTTAGGAACTCTGGAATGAACCTTCTTGTGCCTTTAGCATTTTAGTAGATTTTTAGGAGCTGTTTCGAATAGCTGGGATACGTTTAGTAGCAACCTTGGTGAAGTTGAGGTAGCTAATAAGGAATTGTTTTCCTATGGAAGATTTATTTGGTTATGTTTGTCAAGTTGTTCAGGATGCAAATTAGGAGACCAGAAAGATTTCTCAAAGAGAAAAAAAAATAGCAAACGCCAAAAAACTTTTAGATGGAGGTAGATCGCTTTAGAATGTATGTCATTATGTACCCCTGCAGCTGCGCCAAGTTGAACAGGCTTCCATTCAGTATGTGGAGGCTCTGTAATGTTCATGTAATTTAATTACTTTTCATTAGGGAAAAATAGGTTGTGGCTTGTAAAATATTTTGACTATAGCACTATTTTTTTTTAAGTCCTGAGTCTTTTATTCCTAAACAATGTACTGTGTGTATTGTTATGTAAGCTGCAAAATTATGCTAAAGTTTAACATTAAAAATAAAATGGCTTGTGGCCTCTTAGGAGGTAGTTTATCACTCCCAAGAGATTTAAGATGGTAGTCAAACTAACTTATGTATTAAGCACATATGTTGTCCTGCACATATAAAGCTTAATGTACTGCATTTTTTGCTTTTAGTCTCAGATGCAAACCCAGGTACAGCAAGTGGGAATTGTATCTACACAGGCTATGTCAACAGGGCCAACAGCGGACCCTGAAAAACGCAAACTGATTCAGCAACAGCTGGTTCTGCTACTTCATGCTCATAAGTGTCAGAGGCGAGAACAAGCCAATGGAGAAGTGCGGACATGTGCTCTTCCACACTGCCGAACTATGAAAAATGTCCTGAATCACATGACGCATTGTCAAGCGGGAAAGGCCTGTCAAGGTAAGAGCCAACGTGTGGTGTGTTGCTCCCTAGCTTTGGTATAAAACAGTCCCTTTCATATGGTTTTATACAACATCTAGGACAGGGGTGGGCAAACTACGGCCCGCGGGCCACATCCGGCCCGTTGGTCTTTTTAATCCGGCCCGCCGAAGATTGGTACAGAATTAAGGCTTGATGTGAATGATTGAATGATTGCATTCATTTGATTTTGACTTGTAATGACAGGCATTTCAACACCAGGTGGTGGCCCGTCTGTCAAATTTTAAAAGTCAATGAGGCCCCCGAGCCAAAAAGTTTGCCCAACCCTGATCTAGGAGATGGAAATTGACCCAAAGTAGTCCAACCTGATGGTTCTCATGATATGGTGTCATATAGTTCCTTGAAGTCAAAATGGCTGGGTTATTTCTTTTTCCTTGCTTTGGTGAAATAGAATCTTCTGGAAAGTAATGAGTTTTCATACATGTTTTCAGCTTTCACCTTCATTGCGTTTGCATTGATTTTCACGAGTTAAAAGTACTCACAAAAGCACAGGCATTTGTTATCTTCTGTGGGACTGCAAAAAACTGCTTCCAATCCATTTTAGTTGGGCTGCTTTTGACTAACTAGTGTTCTCTTATTAAGAGTTTTAAAGTTTACTCTTAATGTTCTGCTGGGATTTCTGCTTCCTTTGTATGTTTGGAACCTAAAGGAAGATAGTTTTGACTGGTAAGGATAATCTTTTGTTTTTCCTTCTAATTTCAAAAATGTCTTCAAACGTGTCAAAGCCAATAAACAACCTCAAAAGGTTGCATTTCTTGTAACTCATTCGAGCTATGAGGGCTTTGCAGCATAGGTCTTTTTTAGAAAAATATGACTTACTTTATGGTATTTCAATACAGTAATTCCAGTTACTGGTCCTTTGTTTAATAGGTGATATCCTCAGTATATGATCAGCAGAATTCTCAGCATAGCGAATTCTATGTTGCAGTATAGCAAATAGTGGATACCCCCTATTCATAGATCCAAGCTTTGCAAATGCTACTGTGTGATTTAACAAACTTGGAATTAAGGTTATTCAGGACTACAGAGGTTTAGTTTATGGTTTCTCTTCTGTAGTGGCACATTGTGCATCATCACGTCAGATCATATCCCACTGGAAAAATTGTACACGGCATGACTGCCCAGTGTGTCTCCCACTGAAAAATGCTAGTGACAAGAGAAGCCAGCAACGTAAGTAGCCTTTTTTGTTGAAGAATGTTTTTTTATTGGGAGTAAAGAAAAATTCAGAACAAATACATTGTCTCCATTTCCTGCTTTCCTTTGAAACTTGTTCCTTTAAAATGATATCGAATTAAGAAAATATAAAGCCACAGTGTTATTAGGATGTTTAATCTTAAATAGTTTGATTGCTTACCTGCATTTGGCTAAAAAGCCTCCCAGGGTAAATGAAGAGTAGGGGTGCCAAACTGGTGGGCCATGGGCCAGATGCGTCACATGCAAGCCACGCCTACCCCAGCTCCCCAAAGGGAAAAACCGTCCCAATAAGTCGCCTGTAATGTAGAGGAATAGAAATAACCTTAGAAAAAATACCTGGCAGCTATTACAAAGGCACCTGCTTAGTCCCGAAAGAAGAGAAAGAGTAAGGAAGGAACTAAAGATTGGCCTACCAGAAGCCCTTTGGGTATAAAAGGAAGGCAAAAGAAAGAAATCCTGTTAGGCTTTCAAGATTCTGTAGTCTCTATCGATAAAGTAAAATTCCATTATTTTTTGTAACTCTGTTCACATAGGTTCCAAGTTAGGAAAATCACGAAAGCCTTTCTGTTAGATATAAAATGTAATAGTCTGAAAATATTTTTTAAAAATGTATTCAGATTTTAAAACTTTCTTTAAAATCATTCATTAATCTGTCAAACCTATCTCTGCCCAGAATCACTCTGTGAGAAAGATGATTTCTAAATTTGCTATATAAATGGATAAAAATAAAAATTATGAGCATAATTATATTCTCTTCTGTTTGCTAATATGGAGATGAGATAAATCAATGGATCTGGTAACCAATCATTCTGAAGGGTGAATTACTAAAGAATATGAGGGGATAGAACAGCAGAGTAGAGAAGTAAAACAAGGAATGCTAAGTCCTAAGGATTTGAGTGATAAATTGCTGGTCCTGAAGTATACTTTGTAGTGACTGAATTCTAATCAGGACTTCTGGCATTAATTATTTGGAAATAGTTGATTGGATATTCAGCAAGATGGGAAATGGTCACTAAACAACAAAGAAACTTAAAGTGTAGTCAGCTAAATGAATTATCATTATGAGAATAACTGCTGCTTTGGACAACTTGGGTTTTAGCCAGCATTTAGTCAGTGTAATGTGTATATGTGTATATTTGTATACGTATCGCATAATTGTTTTTTCTTAAGTACTGATGTCTAATTACAATTTTTGAATATATTTCTCAGAGCGCTATTGAAATTCTCCCATTTCAATAGAATTAGAATTACAGCTGTTCTAAGGGGAGGGAAAGTTATTTTGATCTTGAATCTACAAATGATTCCTTTGTATGCACTTGTAGATCAACAGAAGGGAGTGTTGTTCATCAAGAAATGTATGTACTTCTCAGTATTTACAAACTAACCCTAATGTAAATTTGCTGATAGGTTAAATGGTCCCTTTAAAAATGCTGGAGCTATCTTGGAAGTGAACTCAGCACAAACCAAACCTTGAGAGTATGTGTGTGGTAGAAACTTCAACAGTTTCCCCATAGTAGAACTGGGGAAACTCAGGTTTGGATCTCCATCCAGCCCCAAATCTCATATTTAGTCAGTCATGGCTCTCTTAGTTTCACTTACCTCAGGAGTGAGCATAGGTTGAAAAAGGTGTTTGAGTTATGAGCTATCCCAAAGGTTCTTCAGAAGAAGCTTCTTGGATGAGAAGCGAAACGTCTTCAAGGAAAAATAAAGAAAGTCCAGTTGCTGCTTGAAAAAGCACCTTTGGGACAACCATGACCTGGATGACTGAGAATCTCCATAGAGATATGAGCTAGTGTTTCAATTTTTTATCATTAGTGCATTAGCTTGTGGTATATGTATTGCATAATTCAGTACTTTTTTCTCCTGCCCCTAGCTCTCCTTGGGTCACCAGCTGGTGCAATCCAGAATTCTGTGGCATCTGGAACAGGACAGCCCATAACTCCTTCTCTAACTAATCCTAACCCTATTGACCCCAGTTCCATGCAACGAGCCTATGCTGCTCTTGGCTTACCCTACGGCAATCAACCACAGGCACCGTTGCAACCACAGGTACCAGGCCAGCAGCCTACACCACCTCAAACCCACCAGCAAATGAGGACTATCAGTGCACTGGGTAAGCAAGGGAGCTGCTTCTAGCAGTAGAGAGAAAGTGAGAATTTTGTTTTCAGTTGATGTGTTCAGGAAAATGGAAAAGAATAGAAGGCAAAGAATCCTTGATAAGTGCAAGATTAGCTTTGGCTGGAAACTGGAATCATCATCATCATCGTTTTCCTTTAATCAGAATGAGTTTTCTCTGTGCTTAAGAGTACTTAGTATCTTGAGATAGGTAAAGAATGGAGTTTTTTGGTTCTCATTGGCACACAAAGTGTGGATGTTGAGGATGGAGGGCAAGTTAGCACTTTGGTGGAAAATATAAGTTAATTTTCACTGATTGCAATGCATGTACTGTTGCTTATAACTTTTATTTCATTTGCATCTCACTTTTAATCATGTATATGTGTTTTACTTTGTTATTTGAGAAATGTATTTCTTGGTTGAGTTTTCCTACGGTGCATCCATAAATTATGTTAATATAAATATAAGAACTGCCTGAAAATGCTCCGTGACTAACATAGTACATTCTTGTTCCAAAGGAACTAATCCGATGAATCTGGCTGCAGGAGGAATAACTGATCAACAGACTAGCATGATCTCAGAAACGTCTCTTCCGACTCCACTTGGAACAGCAAAGTAAGAAAGGCTTCTTATTTACAGTTGACCATTAGTTCTAGTTTTAAAAATTACAGAGTTTTGGTAATGTTATTTTCCATAGACATTTTGTATCTCGCTGTTAGGGAGGGCTCAGTGATAAAATTACAGTAAAGTTTCATTGCTTGTGCTTGCTGTAGTTATTTGATAACGTCTTAACTTTGGTCATCAATAAGGACATTTAAGTACAGAAATAAATTTCAATACAATAGAGATCTACAAAAGGTTCCCTAACTGTATTTTCTTTAGCACTTTAATGAGTGATGGCACAAATTCTGGCAGTGTTGGAAATCTCAGTGGCTCTATGCCAACAGCTGCGCCACCTTCAAGTACTGGGGTGAGGAAGACCTGGCATGAGCATGTCACCCAGGATCTGCGCAATCACTTAGTACACAAACTGTAAGTATTAACCAGGTGAAGGCATAGCTCACTATGGGATATAACTAGTCTATTAATTATGTTACTTTATGGTGCCATTCCTTAGGTTTGGGGAATATGAGAAACTGGCTAGTTTTATTAAACATTGATTTCTTCTTCACTATATGAGAAGGTAGTTCATGAGAAAAACTATTTCACACATTTATTCTACTTCCCAATTTCATTTTTCTCTCAGTGCCACCAAACTAAGGTTTCAATTGCTGCATATCATTCTGAAGGAAGAGTAGTTCTTATTGAATTTCTTAAGAGCTGGAATTTTAAGCGTGTTTCCACTATACGGTGTTTTCTTGCCATGATTCTAAAGGGAATTAAATCTTTTCTTTTTTTCAGTGTACAAGCCATTTTTCCAACTCCAGATCCAGCAGCTTTGAAAGATCGGCGGATGGAAAATCTGGTGGCTTATGCTAGGAAAGTTGAAGGCGATATGTATGAATCGGCTAACAGTAGGGTATGTTATTGATCTGAAAAAAAAGGTTTGGCTGGATATGTCAAATGCTGTAGAATGCCACACTTTTGAAAAATTATGGATTCAGGTACATTTCTGCAAGATCATGAACTTCCACTGCAGGGCTCTTCTATGTGGTATAATGATTTAAAAGATTGCCAGTTAGGTAACTACTTCAATCTTCAGTGCTTAGAAAGACTGCTTAGAAAGTTTCTTTTTCACAGGAAAGAAGCTGTTCTAGTTTTAAGTGTAGCATCTGAATTTATAGGAACATCTTCTAAAGTGAAGAAGTCTGGAATGTCACAGTGTTTTTATGTTACTGTAGGAATCTAAAGCTATATGCAATTTCTGTTTAGCCCTTGAACAAGAGGCTGCCAGGAAATCCCAGAACAGGAGAAGTTGAAAAGGGTCGTGGCAATACTGTTGCCAGGAAAAGGAGCCAGGCTCAGTTCTTTATCTTACATACCTGTGTGAGAAGATGAGATCTGGCCAGCATTTTAAACAGTGCTGTTCATGATCTATGTTGTCAAAACCATTTCATCACAGATGTGTAAAGCTCTTTGGGCCAGTGAGATTGTACTTGAAGTACTATGTACACTTCTGGGCACCGCATTTCCAGAAGGGCTTTGACAGGTTAAATCGGGGGGGGGGGGGATGATTGAGGAAAATAATTTTGAAGTGGAACATGATATCCAATCTTTAGGTAATAAAAGGCTATCGCTTCAATTTATACTACTGTTCAATTAAATTGCATCCACAGTATTGCTGTCACAATCCTATCACTGTATTGCAGCAGCTTGCTCAAGTTTCTTTTCATCTAGAGCAGGGGTGTCCAACCTTGGCAACTTTAAGACTTGTGGACTTCAACTCCCAGAATTCCTCAGCCAGCAAAGCCCGCTGAGGAATTCTGGGAGTTGAAGTCCACAAGTCTTAAAAAGTTGCCAAGGTTGGACACCCCTGATCTAGAGCATAGGTTGATGGACAATGTATGGCTATCCAGATTTAAATTCCTATCCTCCATCTTAGATCACAACTGATCATATCAAGTAACATCTGGAGGATGATATGTTGCCTGTCTCATCTAGAGACTGTGTTGTGCAAAATTTCAGGAATTATTTTTTCACTTAGGTACTCTGCTTCATGAGGTAGCTGCTTCAAATGGTCACTATTCATTCATATACCAAAATGGATTCAAATTACAACTTCAATCTGTGCTCATCTGATCCTAAAATTTTCTTTTTTCAGGATGAATATTACCATTTATTAGCAGAGAAAATATATAAGATACAAAAAGAGCTAGAAGAGAAACGGCGGTCTCGTTTGCATAAGCAAGGGATCTTGGGTAACCAGCCCACCTTACAGGCCCCTGGGTCTCAACCTCCTGGCATTCCATCAGTGGCAACAACTGTGGGTCAAGCGCAGCCTGTGAGACCTCCCAGTAAGTGATTCACTGAAAATACAGAGCAAGAAAGACCTTGCTACTTCTTTTTATCGTGTTGTGTTCAAAAAACCCATCTTAACAAGTTTTAAAAAATGAAAATTTCTAAAACCACAGGGAAGCAGGATCAAATTTGAATTTGCCTACAAATCTATAACCATTTTATGAAATTCTGAAGAGATGACATTTGCTGGACCTCCTCCCTTGGAAAGGAAGTCCTGATGTTGTGCCTCCCTAGCATCCCCGAATGAATTTTCTTAAGCAGACAATATGAACCTTTCCCAGCATCAAGATGAAGATGAGCCAAAGCACCCTTCTCAGCACTTCCTTCCCAAATGGATTGCTTGACTTTGTTATGCATCGCTCTGTTGCTGCCTTCAGGTATCATTGTAGGAATACATCGTCTGAGGTGGAGGCTGGAGAAGTTTAGACCAGGTTCCCACATTGCTTACAGCTGCTGTTAGATGTTTACTTAGTAGTGTGAGAAGCAAGGTTTACCGCCATGGCTCCTCCAAAAGTGTAACAGGTGTAGCATTTGTAGTATACAGGTTTCATGGTGAAGCTGCTGGCCCAGAACCCAGGAGAGGGTGAGTTCTAGTCCCGCCTTTGGCGTGAAAGCTGACTGGCTGACTGGGCCAGTCTTTCTCAGCTCAGCCCGACTCACAGGGTTGTTGTGAAAGTAGGGGGAAGAAGGAAAGTTATGTATGCCTGCTGCCATGAGTTACTTATAAAGTAATAAGGGCAGGAAAAAAAAATCTAGTAAATAAATACTATCACCGTTGGGAACCTCTCCAGTTGATAAAACTGCTATTTATTCCTTATGTACTTGTGGAAGACTGACAGGAGAATCCATCTTTTAAGATGATAGCACTATCTGCAATTTTTAATGTTCTGATTTTATGAATAATCAATCATTTTTAAAACAGATGTTGCCTAAATAATTCTAACATAATTTAGATTTCTACCAGAGTTTAATGTTCATTTATTCTCTTACAGATGGCCCTATATCCATGCCAAGTGTGCCCCTGGGCCGTATGCAAACCTCTCAAGGTATTTTAACATCCATTGCTTCCTCTTTTACTCAGCATCTCTGCTGTGGCTTTTGCTTTCAGCTAGGGTACCCTACCTAGCCCCTCCAATTATGCCACTTGTTCCAATAACCTTCTATCCCAAGTCTGATTGATTATCTCCCAGCAAGTTCTTGATTCTCTAGAACTCCAAATTTTACTGGAGAGTTTACTGTCTGTTGCTTCTGAAGCAATTTATGTTGTTTGTTAAATGGCATAATTATGTTTTTCCTCATTTGAATCAATTTGTGCCACTCACATAATCACACAAATGACATACATTATGTCCATTTTTTTTAAAAAAAATATCAGAGTTAACAGACATTCCTTTCTCACAAATGGTGTATTAAATTGAGATATACTGAAATCAACTGTCCTTGCAGAAACTTCAAAATTGCTGCTGATGAAAAGGTAGTATCTATGTTCTGTGAAGTCTTGATGAAAAACAAATGGAAACTTTCTAATGAGACTTTAGGAAAAATACCATTACAGGATCAACAAATACGATAAAACTGCAAAAATCAGCTTTAATCAGATGAGCCTCTGCAAGGAAACAGAATTAATAACTTTTTTAAAAAAAAAAGGGAAATAGGTATGCATTTGGTCAAGTGGTGTTGCGTGAACCTTAAGGGGGACACTTAGCCTGAATCTTTATCAAAGCAAAGCATCCTCTGGAAGTTTTGCAGTCTTGCAAACGGATACTGTACCCTCAGCAAGCTCTTACACAGACTGGCACCTTGTGGCACGATCTCCAGAGGTTAGCTGTTCTGCAGAAACTGTATTTCTCATCACAGGGGTCTAACTAAAGTAGAGGCACAAGCGGAATAAGGAAAGGCCCAAAGCAGTTCCCGTGCATAAAGAATATGAAAACATAAGATCCTTGAAATTTTTCAAATAGCTGTGGGTCACTTCTGCTTACCACTTAGAACTGAATTAGAGATTTGTCAGTGTCAGCAGTATTGCAGGCAAAATAGTTTTAGTTGCCCTCACGGATGACTAGTGGTGGGATTATACAGAACAGATATTCCCTGTTCTAGGTAAAGCCACAATTGGCACAACTGAACTGATATTGAACAAAAGTCCTTTAGTTGCAGCCACCTGCTTTTCCAACAGGAGCTGATGGACTGTCCAACTGCAATTCCTCACCTGGACTGCTAGGAGGTGGCAGGAGGTTCAGAAAAGAACTCTTGCAATGCCTTTGAAAGTAACTGTTGCTTTGGGTCAGTCAGGCTGGAGTAGCTTGAATTATTTTATTAAATTGCAATTTTCCTTTCCTGGGGAACTGATAGAAGAAGAGACGTGTCACAAGGGCATCCCCTTTCTTCCTATTTTTAATATGACTTCTGCGTAACTCCATATTTAGTCCAGAAGTCTGACTTCCAAAGATCCAGTTGACCCAGTGCAGTCCCACGTATGATAATTGGAGTCCATTGGGCTCCCACCAGTGTTCTCTCAAAGTGTCTTTTGTTGTTTCTTCCTACTTGTTTACTGAATTGCCCGGGCCAGGTTTTCCTGCCCGTTTGAGCAGGGCTTGGACATTGTGTGTCTAATGAGCTGTTCTGGGGGTACATTTTGCAGGAGTGAATCAGTTTAACTCCATGTCCATAGGGAATGCCCAAATGCCCCCAGCATCAGTCGGGCCTCGTGCGGCTTCTCCACTGAATCACCCTGTTCAGATGAACTCCATGGCCTCTGTTTCGACGGTTCGTATTATATTATTTTTCTTTTGTTGTTAGAATACTTTTAGAAAGTCAATTCAGCTATTGGTTGCTTTGCATCCTTCCCAGTATTGCCACATTGGAATTTTCAGTTAATGCACTTTATTGCAATATTCACTGATTTTCTGATCTCACCCAGCTCTCTATATTATACAAGGGAACCTGGGAAATATTCAGTGTAAGCCATTTAAAAGAGCATTGTGTTTTGTTCAGTGTTTCCTTGCAAAGCCATTCTTCCTTTTGTAGTTACTATCTGTGCCTTCTGAAACCTATGATCCAGAATCCTAATATAGGTAGATTATTTTGTTTACTAGATGGCTCTGTCTCCTTCCCGAATGCCTCAGTCTCAAAATGTGATGGGAGCTCATTCTGGCAACCTCTTGGGTCAGCCCACCAGCCAAACCCAATTCCTGTCCCAGAATCAATTTTCTGCCTCTAGTGGAGTTTTGAATGTCAACAATACAGCCCTAGGGAAGCCAGCAGCACAGGCTGGGGTAGGACAGGTAAGTTTTGCAGTAAACCAAAATTTATGGCAAATTTGTTTCAATAATTTTGGGGGGTACCTGTTCGCAAAATATGGAATCTTCTACTAAATTCTAGTTGTGGGGAATGGATATCACAGTGGCTGTTGCTTGGACAAGAAGAAAATGTGATGCATTTGTGTGTCTCAGTATGCGCACAAGAATTTGATGAAGTTTTGTATATCCTGTTAAGTGTAGTTTTTTCTAACAGGGTCAGCTTCCTGGCATTGCTGTTCCTAATTCAGTTACCTTACTTGGATCACAAAACAATCAGCTCTCGTGTCCTCCAGTGAGCCAGTCACCCCTTCATCAAGCTGCACCTCCATTATCCACAGTGGCTGGAGCGCCACCTCTTCCACACCAAGCCCCTCCAGGACTTACTCCACCACAGTCAATTGTGCCTGCCCAGCCATCTGCCCCTGCTTCCTCGTCAGGCCAAGCTCCCACTCCAGCTGCTGGCCCAGTTCCCAACACCATGCAGATGCAAAGCACCCCTTCGGGGCAACTGGCTACACCAGCTCAGGTCACCCCCCAGCCTCAGACTCCCGTGCATCCTCCATCTGTGCCCACCCCACAACCCCTTCAGCCGCAGCCACCGCCGTTGTCAACCCAGGCACCCAGTACTCCGGTAAGTGTTTCATCTTTTCCCTGTCTGGGCTTTCTGCTGCTTCGATTAGAAGTTCCTTAGAAATCAAGCAGCAAGTGAAGCAGCACTATCCAAACTTGTGATCTTGTGCAGAAGCAAGCTGTTTTTTTTTTTTTAAAGTAGAATGTTTGTACCTCATCCTGAATGCCATCAAAGACTGACACAATGCGACTCTTTACAGGCAGCCTTTAGTTGCTGTTTCCCATCTTTGATTGTTTGCCATAAAGAGCTTAATGATGAAGCACTTTAATTGGTCACAACAGATGTTTTAGCATTGATTGGCAGATGGTTCCAGCTAGCACCTTTACATTTTGCATCATCTACCATTTCTGAACTTTTCTTAAGAGCTCTAAATTGGAAGTTTACAAGATACAGATCTTTCTGCATGTGTTGTTTTTCAAGGGCGTTGTTGTAGCTTTCTTATGGCACACCAAAACAATTGCTCTTCTGTAAGTGCTTGCTTCACAGAGCAATCTCTTATTGAACTCTGCCACAATCCTTCAAATATATTATGGATTCTAAGATGGGTAGGTAAAGCAGATTCACCCCATAGAAATGTTTACAGACAGTCATCTCAGTTTAATGTTGCAGATTCAGTGCCATTCTCTAAATCCAGGTTTCCATATTTTCCTTCCTTCCTCCTTCCCTCCCTCCTTCCTTCCCTCCCTCTCTTTCCAGCTATCCCAAGCAGCAGCAAGTACAGACAATAGGATACCTACACCAGCCTCTGTTGCCAGTGCTGATATCAGTGCCCAGCAACCTGGCCAGGAAACACAAATGCAAGAAAATAAACCAGAAGTCATGATAGAAAATGCTGACTCAGAATATATTGAGGCTCAGCTGGAGCCAAAACCAGAGGTAATTGAGAACCAAATCATTATTAGTAGATTAATAAAAAAACATGACCTACTCTTGCTTACTTGAAAAAAATGGACAAATCTAGTAGGTTGCACTGGAGATAAATACTCAACTTTCCCTTTGCTTTTTAGTTGGAGGAGGGCATATCGGGACCTGCACGAACCAAAGAAGAAACTAATGGGGTAGATGGCAAACAAGAATCAATGGAGATAGAAGGAAAAAAATCAGAGCTAAAAGAGGAGGAAGATGGGAACAGCAATGGCACCATATCGCAGTCTACATCACCATCTCAGTTACGGAAAAAAAGTAAGTCTGTGTCTCTGTAACTCTGGGATATCTTCTGAGGCTGGACAGCAAATCAGTCAAGCCTCTTGTGCAGTCAGGCCTAAGCCTTCCTTGCATTATCACTCTATTCCCAGTAAGATCAGCCATCCAGGCGCCATGGAGAATGAGAAGCAGGGTTAATGGATAGCTGTTCCTTGTGGCTTGTCCTTAATCTCGGAGGTGGGGGGTGTATATGGGTAGGATCATATTTTTTTAGCTTTAGTTATCATTTACTGATCCTTTCTCCAACAATATTTATTTTATCTTTCTTAAAGCTACCTGAGCAAGGGGGTCAGGGATTATTGCATTTTTTTGTAATTAAATTTCTTCAGTGAAATTTGTGAAGTTGAAACAATTTCATGAGAAATAAAGCAATAACTTGTGATTGATTGCATTAATTGTTAGGTAAACTGCCTTGAATTATGGAAATTTAGGGCAGTATAGTTGGGATGGATGGATGGATGGACAGATGGATAGATAGATAATAATAAGATTTCTGTTTAACAGTCTTTAAACCTGAAGAATTGCGCCAGGCCCTCATGCCTACCCTGGAAGCTTTGTATCGTCAGGATCCAGAATCGTTACCTTTCAGACAGCCAGTGGATCCTCAACTTCTAGGTATTCCGGTGAGTGAGTTTCTTTCTTTTTTCCCTTTGCCCTACACTTTTCCTTTTTCCTTTATTTTCCTATTAATTTCTTTTGTATTTTATATTAAGAATATTTTGACCGTTAGTAGAGAGCTATGATGAGTGTCTGTGGTGGTAGATATACTGCATGGTTTGTAACAAGTTGACATCTGGAAGACCAAGAAAGCTGTCAAAGGGCTCTGCAGAATGCAGAGACTCTGGCATTATATACTTTACTTTGGGAATATTACTAGGTCTCTTTTCCTCTCAGTGAAAACCAAAAGAGACCCATATCGTGATCTCTGTAAAAAGCCCAGTAGATGTTTTGAGGTCTTGAAAGTGGGGCAATTCCTGTGCAACAGTTCTTCTCATTCTTTTGTGCTCTCTGAGCTTGGTTGCTTGCTTGCAGACATTTTATTACCTAACTAGATTTTAATGTTGGGTAATGAAACTTTGGATAATGAAACGTCTTTCAAGTATCTAGTGTATCATAGAAAAAGGAGGAAGGGAAGAGAATCCTTACTCTGAGGTAGAGGAGCTTTTTTCCAAGCTCAGGAATTGGCATGGGAACTGAGAAAAGCCCCTCCTCTCCTTGGTATCATTCCCAGGGGAATCAAGAGAAGGATCTTTCAGAACTCTGGAAGCTTAATAAAGGCATGGATCGACCAGTAAGCTCAGTTCCTTCTTTTTACAAACATAGACCACTATCTGGCCAGATCAGCCTAGAATTCAGACTGTTAACTTGCAATTCTCCTAGGTTGGGATTAGATAGCTCACGTGCTTTTGTGGCCTAGCAATGGCTGGTTCCAGGAGTTCTATGAGAAGCTGTCCTCTGTTTCCAATTTCACCTGTTTTGTGGTGAAGAAAGTGGTACATCTCCAGTTCTACCACGATCAAAACAGGAAAAGAAGTTTGCACACAAAAGCAACATTTCTCTTTTTTCCCCCCTCTTCTCTCCTGTCATGGAGCCTTTCTCATTCCAAGAACTTTCATGCATTTTTGTCTAATCAGTATTTCATGTATAATTGAAAAGTTGGAAATCATTGGAATAGGAACAATTGTCTTTGGATTCTGCTCATAAAATCTTGGAAGTCAGTTACAAGACTTCAACTGTCAAGCTGACCTAATTGTCTATGGAGATTCACAGCTATCCAGGTCATGGTTGTCCCAACGGTGCTTTTTCAAAAGGCAACCGGACTTTTTTGGTTCTTGCTTGAAGACATTTCACTTCTCATCCAAGAAGCTTCTTCAGTTCTTCAACTGACCTAACGTGTCTTTTTACTTTCCTTTTCTTTTTACATACAAAGGATTATTTTGACATTGTGAAGAACCCCATGGACCTTTCTACCATTAAACGCAAGTTGGATACAGGGCAATACCAAGAACCATGGCAGTATGTGGATGATGTCTGGCTAATGTTCAATAATGCCTGGCTTTACAACCGCAAAACATCAAGAGTCTATAAATTTTGCACTAAGCTTGCAGAGGTCTTTGAACAAGAAATTGATCCTGTAATGCAGTCCTTAGGATACTGCTGTGGCCGCAAGGTGTGTTTGGTTTCATCCTATCTATGAATATAAGTTTATAAAGAAAAACACTTTTTTTCTTGTTTTTCCCAGTGTTTTGTTTTAAAATAAGATTCTGAGCAGGTGTAATATATTGTATAAATGATGGCATTTACAAGCATTATAAAATTATGACATCAGCTTAATAATAAGCTGCTTTTCCACAATGTAAACTGTTGTATTTTCTTTAGCTACTTTTGATGTCCCCATTATTTCTGGACTATATGAGCTCCAGTTGAGCAAATAAGACCTTTTTGATTTTTTTCCCCCCAAAAAAGGCTCTAAATCATTTTACACTGAGTATAAAATAATTTACACTCCATGTGCAAATTAACCATGGAACAAATACTGTGGAACTGTTGTTGCTATACATATGAGTGAAAATGTTTTGGGTGAAACTAAAGTATGTTAATGCCATAAAAATCTGTATTCCAAGCATTTTATATGAAATCTTAAATAAGGTATTTAGAGTGTCCTGCTCATATCCTATTTATCTGATGTATTTTAAAATCAAATATTCCAACTTTTAAGAGGAGGTTAAACATAGCACCCAACTCCTTCATATAATATTATTACAATAGCAATGATTAATCAATGGAATATTTTAGTAAGGGAGCAGCTAACCTCTGCATTCTTATTTAACCTTGTGCTTCTTTATCAACTTTATTGGTTGCCCATCTTATCACAGGGTATCTCTGGGTGACCAATACAAATTATTTAATGATCTTAGAGAATTATAGGCTTGTTTCTAAATTTTACAGATTGAATTTATATGAACAGAGTGACCCCATGGGCTTTCGTCCAGTTCCTCTATAAGGAAAGAGATGGTGCCTTGGGTGTCCTATGAGATATGAAAGCAGAACATAACAAAACTTGATTGTACTGCATGACAGTAATTATTATTGATGCATATAGAGAGTTCTGTTCTGTAGCAAACTCTTCTCTATACCATTTTTTTTTCTTTTGTAGTACGAATTTTCTCCTCAGACATTGTGTTGCTATGGCAAGCAGCTGTGTACTATCCCCAGAGATGCTGCCTACTACAGCTACCAGAACAGGTGAGCCTTGGTGTCCTCCTGACCAGGTCAGAAGCAGGGACTAAAGTTTAATTTTGCGTGCTTGCCATTTCTTCCTGTTGGAATCTGGAAGGAGTTTTCTCATATTAGAAAATGCAGTGACTTCTGAGACCATTTTCATTTATTTAGGAAATGGGTGGAGGGGGCGGACAGAAATAATAAATCAATGTTGATTAGTTATTAAGATGACTGCTTTCTCCTTCCCACAACATGTCCATCTATGCTGTGATCTTGCTTTGTCCAATGTGTAAGAAAGCCTAATCCTACATTCCCTGTTCATGTCCCACTATTACAGCCTACCATTACTACAGGATGCCTAAGGCAGGCTACAACACCGAGCTGTATTCAGCTTGGAGACACTGTGTGGCTGTATGGGATGTCAGCTCTGTATGAGGGGTTGAAATATTGTCCACCAAAATTCTGCAGCTGTTTATTTTGAAAAAGATGTGTCCTGAAGTCCTCACATTGATTCTGAGGGTTGATTTTACCCTAATAGGAGAGTGTGACAAATGCTTTGTATCGCTGACTATATGGGTGCCCTCTCACAAACTTCTATTTTAGCAAGGAAAGTGGAAGTCTTGCAAACAGAAGCAAAAGGGTGCTTCTAAAAATCTCAGGAAAAGAACATCTAAGGGGCAGATGGTCGATGCTTGGCTTTGATATATACGTGGTTGGAATTCATTGTAATAGATTCGGATTTGGTCTGCTGTGATGACCCTCTTTGATAATCTTGGTTACTGGTGAAGTAGAATCAACCTTGCCTTTGGCTCGGCAATCTGCTGCTGCTGCTGTTGCTGTTTTGGGGGCAAGATGATTATTGATGGAGGCATGCTTTAGCTTCCTGACTTTTGGGCTAATTTTGTTATGCTTTGTAGATCAGTCTTTGATATTTCTTTGTAAACTGAGTAAGTTGGTTCAGCTGAATAATCTCTAAAAGTCTCCAATTCACAAAAAGGCAATCTTGGTCATTGCTCAGCAAGTGCAAAATTTAATAGCGTGGAGATGAGCCACCATGTTACTTTAAATTCTCCCTATTGTTATTTCATTGGGATGATCAGAACCACTGTTGCTGTTATAAAGATACTCATGAATGTTTATATCTTTTTTCTTTTCTTGCTTTTAAAAATGTAACTTTTTCTTTCTCTGTTTTTATATTTTAGTTCAGCTTTTTCCATACATTTGCTAACTTTGTCTTACATTGATACAGTTTTGCTTCCATATTTTCTCATCTTTGTTTAGAGAAAGAATTTGCTAAGCTTCATTCTAATTAGCAAAAAAATGGAAACAAGTCTGTTTCAGTTTGCAAAACCTTAATATATCACTTCATTATGGTGTATTATAATATAAACCATATAAATAGTTCACATTCACATACATTTATAAAATAAACATAGGCTGGATGATCCTTTTTGGTTACATGCTTGTTTAAAGTATGAGCTTGGTTTTGTTTATATAGTATGCATTTAATTTGAGCAGTTGGCCACATTTAATATAACTTTCAAACACAGTTTGGTATAGAGGACAACATTAAAACTATTCTTATTTCTGTTGTATTCATAAATATTGCGATAAACTTACTTTGGCTGCAGTAAAATTGAACTTAGTAACTGCTTGCTTTAAAGGATACTTACAGATTAAACAGAGGCTACCCCACAATAAGCTGGGATTCTGGAGCTCTCCTTTATCACCCGTGGAATGAGACCAAATGCTAACCCGCACTTTGCCTTGGCTTTCTGCTCTGTGTTGTCTTGGTGTTTGTGTCTTACTACTTCTGTCTGTGCTGTTTGTCCTCTTCCCTCTTTTCTAACCCTTCCCTTCCCTTCCCCTCCTCTTTTCCTTTTCATTGTCCACACTGGCCCATCAATCAACAAACAACGCTCCCCCTTTCGTCGTGGTGATCTGCCCTGCTCTGATTGGTGGTTCCATTGCTTGGGTGGCTATGTGTTTTGATGGACCAGTTCACCCAAATATGGCCTTCTCGCTGACAGGTATCACTTCTGTGAGAGATGTTTTACTGAAATCCAGGGCGAAAACGTTACCCTGGGTGATGATCCTGCCCAGACACAAACGTAAGTATTTCGGTTTTTTACATGCTGAGTATTAACTAAGGAAGAAACCGTTTCAATTACAGTACAGGCGTATCAGATAGCAGACCAACAGGCATGCCTTCTCATAGACTTTAGCCTTGTTTACATTTGCAGAAAATTCTTAAGCTGCAGCTTTGCAGCATATTAGGTGCCCACCCTCTCAGTAGAATCCGGGTCCTTTAACCATTTTCTGGCATGGCAGCTGTTCATTTTCCATCCTCAATACTGAGCAACATTTAATGAATGTTCAGTTTAAAAAGACTTCAATTCAAATCACATTCAGCCATGAACACATTGCATACCCTGTTCTCAACATCACATTCTGGAATATATGGAGAATAAATAGTCCTGTCTGAAACATATTGTTAAAAATGAATTATTATTGGCAATGAACAAAAAAGAAGCCAGCCAACCCTAGATAGCTTGTTCTCATAGTTGTGGTGCCGAAGGCCTTTTTTTACTGGTTTTTTGCTTCCTGCAAGCATTGTTCAATGAATATCACACAGAAATGGCAACAGTTTTTTTAATGTTAAAAATTCTACTTGATTTGAGTTAATTTGTATAATTACAAATTATGAGCCAGCGTTGTCTAAGAATACCAGATGGCAATCAAATTCCAGAGTGACTAACTTTATGAGAAACTCCTGAAGTATATGCAGCTTTATTGTATGCAGCTGCCTTTTTTACAGAAGTATACTTATGGGTTATAATGTAGCCAAAACCAAAATTGGCCCTAAATTCTTGTGTTACTTTGCAGAACCATTTCAAAAGATCATTTTGAGAAGAAAAAAAATGACACACTTGATCCCGAGCCGTAAGTATAGTGTTCTATTGCATCAGTAGCTACAAAATGGAACTTCTTCAGATTTAGGCAGCGTACGATAAGTCAGCTGGGAAAACTAATGCAGAAAAAGTTTCTTAAAAAGTAAATATCCAGTAATTTAGAAAGCAGTATAATGCTGAAATCTTATGTCTGAAACAGCTATCTCATGCAGAAACACTTTTAACATTTTAAAAGTGTATTTAATACGTATTTCTGTTTCAAGGAAGCTAAAACCTCTTCTCTTACATTGTTCAGTTTTGTTGATTGCAAAGAATGTGGCCGGAAAATGCACCAGATATGCGCATTACACTACGATATTATTTGGCCTTCTGGGTAAGTGGCTCTGAGACCTGCCATGTTTTGCTACTGTGAATATTTATTTTATTTATTAAATTTATTTGCCACCCTCTCTCTATCAAGCAAATCCTGGCAGCTTACAACATGGGAAAAATGACAATAAAAATATTAAGATTAAAATTAGCTAAGATAAAAACTAGTATACCCAGGGGTAGAGTGTTTGTTTTGTATTAAACAAGTTTCAGAATTCTGTGTAGATGTAGATGATTTGCAAAAAAAATATCTTTGTTCTGTGGTTCTGGAAAAAATCTGCTCAACATGCTTGTAATATGTGGTTGCAATGATGTTTTTAAATTTTCTTTGTTTATTTCACTGAAAGTGACTTGCTTCATCTTGCATTTTGGGGGGCCTAAGAAATATACAGATTTTATATATTAAATTTGTACTTATTTCTAAGTAATCCTTAGAATTCAGCTTGTTCCTAAAGAACTACTCTGTTTCTTAACAACATTAGACATTAGGCTTTGGGGGTTCTGTAGTCTTGTTACCTCACATGGGTTTCCCATAGGCTTTGGTTATGTGTTTTTATGCAAATGAGAAGGCACTTGATGAAATCTTGCCTGCATCTGAGAAAAGAATCAATCTTCTGTTGGCCGTTGTCTTTCATCAGGCCAGGCTGTCTCAGAATACTGTTAAGCATCATTCTGTGAATTTCTTAAAGGAATAATATAAACACATGCCAGGCTTAATGTAATATGAGATTCCATGTGTGTGATACTGGATGTGGTGTGCATTCACTAAGTCAAGGAAATCCAATTCGTTGTTGTGTGCTGCCCAGAGTCACACACTTGTGAGATGGGTGGCCATATAAAAATGCCAAATAAATAAATAAATAAAAGAAGTGCTCTTTTTGAGCAATGAACACAGATACCCAGCTGACAAGAACTTGCCTTTTCTCTTTGACCGACTGCTCTGGGATGCAAAGAGCTCTTCCAGCCAGATCGTAATGGAATGTTGAGCTGAGCATTTCAAATTGTCTTCCTCACCATCGCTTGGCTAAGAGACTTGAGCTACTTATGAGTCTAATACTCCTTTTTGCCATCAGCCCAAGTCCCTGGATTCAGCCTTGCAATAACACGTTCTGCCAGCGCAGCCCTACAAACCCTGCCATCCCAATCATACAGCATACCCTTATGCTGTTCAGGAATTAAGGTGGGCTTCAGCACCAAGTTAAAAATGGCCCAGAGGGTGAGAAGAAAAAAAGTGCCTTTTGGCACACTTTCTGTTTGTGAAGAAAATAGTATATTGTGAAGTATTTTTTGTTCCTTTTAAAAATCTTTTATAATATTTTCAGCTCAGGATACATTTAATAACTCTTTATTGTGTTTTAGTTTTGTGTGTGACAACTGCTTGAAGAAAACTGGCCGAACACGCAAAGAGAATAAATTCAGTGCCAAAAGTAAGTTTATGGCCTCCTTTATTGTATATTAACTATATTTAAACACAATATCTTAATGCATCTTTTAAAGAATCCCATTATTGTTTAAATAATACTGTGGAAGGCCATTCATATTTGGATTTTGTCTTTATTCAAATAAGTAATGGAGTTGGAAAATAATTGTATTACAGATCTAAATAAAAAGCAGAATTACACTGGCAGCACTCCACTTTCCTCGTTTCCCCAGTAGAAGTGGGGGCGCATGCATAGTATTCCCAATTTGAGAAACAGCAAATATTGTAAAGTATTTGGTGCTCCTGTCTCCATATGGTCCATAAGAGCCGTGCAGCACAGTGGTTAAAATGCAGTATTGTAGGCAAACTCTACCCACAGTCTGGAAATCAATCCTGATCAGTTCAAGGTTGACTCAGCCTTCACGAGGTCAGTAAAATGAGGACCCAATATTGCTGGGGCAACATTCTAACTCCATAAACCACTTAGAAAGGACTGTAAAGCATTGTGAAGTGGTATATAGGTTTAAGTGCTATTGTTATTCCGTATCTCATGAATACAGCCACCTCTCCCCACCTTCAGTTCTGGATTCCATGATTGGTCTTGTGAACCTCTCTTTTTGTTGATGGTTTGTATCACAAGGCAATTGTCAGGATTCCAGCAATCGCCCTAATTAAATCATTCTCGAGCCAAACTTCAAAAAACTTCAAAGGATTTATTAGATGCGACATACCAGCATTGCCCTGTATGAAGCCAACTCTGGCATACGTAATTCACAGTCACCTCTAACTCTGTTTCCCACCTCCCCCCTGGGTGTCTCATAAACCAGAGTCTCCAATTGAGCACGTTCACGGGCTGGGTGTCATCACGTTCTCCAATTAAATATATTCACAGGCAAAAGCCCTGGTATTTTAGTTACAATCTTTTAAAGAGTTGGAACATACTTTCATCTTCAAACTGCTGCACTGCTGTTCCATATTTCCTCCCCCCCCCCCTTTTTTTTTTTTTTTTAAATGGCAACTACTAAAACAGGCATAGGAATGTTTTATGAATTGACAGCGATGGTGTATAAGAGCCATTCCTTTATCGTTTGGAAACAAGCTTATCAATTTCCTATGGAGGTTACTTACAGTCGATAAAGGATGTCGATCGTAGCTTTAAGAATAAAGCCAAACATTGCTGTAATGATATACGAGCAATGAACAGGATGATCTCTTTCTGTTCTTCCTTTCTTCCTCCTCACCTACTAGGGTTACAGACTACCCGCTTAGGGAATCATTTGGAAGAGCGTGTAAACAAATTTCTCCGGAGGCAGAATCATCCAGAAGCTGGGGAAGTGTTTGTGAGAGTAGTGGCCAGTTCAGATAAAACAGTAGAAGTCAAACCAGGAATGAAATCTCGGTGAGTTTTGCCTTTCTTTTATTGGATTCATCTGATTGCCGTTACCAATTGACTGAATCCATTTCTCTATAATATCTTATTTAAGCATCCAAAATTTAATTTTTTTCTGAACAGTGCCATTTTACCATATATTCTGAGAATTTTTGTCTGCATAATTTCAGAATAAAGTATGTTATACACTGAAGCAGAAAGCCTATTATGCTGTGTTTATGACAACAGCTAACAAGGAAGATTAGGATCAATTAGTTAAACTAAAGAATTCCTGATGAATATTTTACTGAACAACAATTACTATGAGGTCATAACAGATGAGTGAAAGCAATTGTTTTTGTTTCAACAGCAAGCTAGCTATATTCTAGAAAATGTTCAAGCCATTGCCAGCTCCCCCTTTTGGAGCGTGGGGGGAGACCTGATTTCTCCCTAACCCCATTTTAATACTGCAGTGGTCATATCTGCTATGATCTTGTTTTTCTCACTCTTATGAGAGAACTGATTCTCATGACAGCCTAGCAGATAGAGCAGTTTTTTGCTTGGGGAAAAAATTAGAAATGTCACTCTCAGTTCTCTTCATCCTTTAAGGAAGAATTCTAAACAGCTTGGCATTTTATGCCAAATGCAGGACCCAAAGAATCTTGTATATCAGAACAGCCTCTGGGTGGAGGTTGTGTTTGCCATTTTCATCTATTGGTTTTCATCAACCAATAATAGTTGAAAATAAATCAATAACCGGTAAGCCTGCTTGAGTGGGACATTTTTTTCTAACATCAAATAATTAATTCCTCAGCTTTTTATCTTTTACCTTAAAATGGTGTGAATTTCTCTTTGTTGTAGATTTGTGGATTCTCGTGAAATGGCTGAGGCCTTCCCCTACCGAACAAAGGCTCTTTTTGCTTTTGAAGAAATTGATGGTGTGGATGTCTGCTTTTTTGGCATGCACGTGCAAGAATACGGATGGGATTGTCCACCTCCAAACACAAGGTCTTGCTTTGCTTCCGTCCAAACGAAGGAAGGATTCTGGTTATTCAATCTCACCCCAGGCAGTCTCACATAATTCTACTTGTGGGAAAAATTAAATGAAGTGCTTTCTACTTATATATATCGTTTTATTGCCTGACTCAATCTGCCTCGATCTTGAAGGACATGAAGGAGAATATAAATCTGAAGTGTAAATAGATAACAGTACATCAGTATGGAACTGTCTGGTGCCAGTAATGCCAGACAATCCATTCCCAAACATCTTTTGAAGGCCATGAAAGTCTCCCCCTTGGGGGACAGATTGTTCCAACGGAGATGAGCCACATAAAATGACTGTTATTAATGTCCTATCCATCTGAGGGACTTTTGGCAGGGGTGCCTAATCATCCAAACCAAGGGCAGGAAAGGTATCTCCTAGATATCCAGGCCTCAAGCTGCATAGGTCCTTACAGGTGGTGACCAGCAGTTCAAATTTTATTCAGAAAAAGAAGCATTTACCAGAGTGATAAAATGTGGCAATTCGGGAACAGCCTAATAATTGGGAGGGCTGCTGCATTTTCAATCAGCTGAGCTTTCCAGATGTTCTTCAGGGGCAGCCCTATGGCAGATGAATTACAGTAATCCAACTAGATAAGATACGAGCTTCTGAAGGAAAGGCAGGATAGCAATTGCACTTAGGCTTTCAATACTGCTCCATAATGCTTTACTCTCCGAGCGGTTTACAAAGCGGTTTAATGTGCTGACCTTGCATGGATGGAAGGCTAAATTGACCTCGAGCCCATCAGGATTGAACTCCAGGCAAAGTTTGCCTGCAATATTGCATTCTAACCACCATGCCACTAGGGCTCAGGATACAAATCAAAGGAGCAAGTAATGAACCACTGAGTTTTCTTTCCTTTTTGTCACAGGCGTGTGTACATCTCCTACTTGGACAGCATCCATTTCTTTCGCCCAAGATGCCTCCGGACTGCTGTTTATCATGAAATCCTTATTGGGTACCTGGAATATGTCAAGAAACTGGGGTGAGTGTTCTGCCAGGACCTTTTAGCAGTGGACATCTTAATGGCCCTTATTTAAATATGGCATGCATTCCTCTTGAACGGACACAGGTGGAATTTGTTATATCTCTCTAACTTCTTCAGGGTCAGTCGGGACATTTCCCATGCACTGGGGAATGGAAAAGCAAATGCCAAATGAGATTGGGAAGCATAGTTGAAAGGCCAGGAAAAGATGTTAGGGGATACTAATTTCACAGTAAACATAAAAAGAATCATAAGTAGGCAGGAGACTGTCCTTTTCTATATGTCTTGATTCTCCATTCTTCAAACACATTCATTCACCCACGCATACATTTTCCAAATCAGCTTCAGCAGCAGTGCTGCTGCTGCAGCAATTCAGATTGATGCAGGTAGTGTGGTTTCTGTAGAGAGGTACAAAACACTCATTGCAAACAGAGTGAAATGAGCGCAGTGTAAGTTAGACATTAGGAACAAATTCAGTCACTTGGAAAATTGCTCTTTCCTGTCTTCATCTTTTGATCTCATTGGATTATCTTGATTTCCCTGCAGCAAACTACAGTGAGAAGGGGAAGGGCAGAGGGAGGTAGATCAGCCAGAAATGCAGACCTCAACACTTCTGTCTGTCCTGTAGATTGTCAGTTCCTAAACACCTCATAGTAGTCTTCCTATATTGTGCATGGTAATTTTCTCTTCAGATTAAACAATTCACACATTCCAAAAGTATGTACAATTGTATAGCCAAGTGTTGATTTTTCAGCTTTCTGAAACTCAGAAATTCAGTGGAACTCTTAGCTTTCATGTAAGTTATTCTCTGTATGTTGTTCATTGAGACTTGTACAAAAACATAACGCCTGAAAATCCCAGAAACTTACGGGAAATAAACTTATGGGCAGCAAACTTACGGGCAACTCTCTTTCCTGCTGTTAACTAAAAAAGTTTGAACAGCCTATAATATTGACATTTTCCTTTTGTATATGTGAACGGCTTTCTAGTGCAAGAAGCTCACAGCTTTCTAATGAATAATAGGAAATAACATTCTTGTAGCACAAACTAACTTGATATTTTATTTGCATAAAAAGGTTCAAGGTCTGACCGTTGTGTTACAATTAGTATGTGTGTGTGTTGTGTGAAATTGTTCTACCTCTTGTGTGTGTTAAAATGCCTCAAACTTATGCCTCAATGGGTTACATTTAAACATCCAAACTGTCATTAGAGGTGAAGCAGTTAGGTAGAAATTCTGGTCAAGCTGCCCTATTGCAACTTGCAGAAGCTTGTGTGCTTGAAGCAGGTGTTTCCATTTCTAGGGAATGGGATAAAAAAAATAAGAACCATATACATATTAACCCATTTTTGTGACCATGTAAGCTCAGTATGGCTTTCTGAATTGAGTTTTGTAGGATGCATTTTGTCACTTCCTTCCATCCCAGGAATTATTGAAGAGACTACAATTGACAGAACACCTGGAGAAAGTAATTCCTTGGGCAGATGCAAGTGGAAAGTGATTTTCCCCTTTTTTTAAAAAAAAAAAGTAAGATATTTGTATTTTGCCTATTAACCTTAAAGAACTTGAAGTTAGGGCTATTTTTGGTATTTTTGAATTAAAATCTACCAGAGAATACTACATTTATTTCCTTTTTTTAGCACAATACAAAAGGCAATTATCCACTAAGCATGACAATAATAAACAAATAAGTAGGAAGCCACCCTGGAAGAAAACAAATAAAAATAAGAATCAGTTGTACTGTGTAGTATTTATTGGATCCAAAGAAACGGAGGGAAAGTATCCAAAGAAAGTTATTCCAGGAATTGGGTCCAAGATTATTCAAAGAGAACATGAAGAAAATAAACTCTGTGGCCTATAAACTTTATAAACCAACAAACTTACCTCAATGCTTGGGCATGAGTTAAGTAGCTCAAATAGCCCTGTATTTTCTTTGGATTAAAGTATTCAAATTGTTATTAAAATATTGCCAATGCTGTTATGCGGCAGAGAATGCTCAGGGTCCAGAAACAGCTAGAGATTAATGTCCTGCCAAGTTTGGGTTTCTTTGTAACATCATCAAACAATCAAGGTGACATGGGACAAGTTAAAATCATAATACAACAATAAAAGATGAATTAAATAGCAAATTACCACACAGTGAATGCCCAAATTTAATATTGGTATAGACTGATAGTTTTGCAGACCCAGAGCCAATTTTTATGACCTTCACAGAGAACAACATGGTTAGGACTTCACAGACTTCAAGGAAATGCTTCTTGTGCAAGCAGGATCCACCTCTTTTTTTTAGGTACTGTATCAACAATGGTTATAAACTCAAGAGGCATACTAAGGTATGAATGAATGATTGAGTGTAAGTGTTGGTTATCTAAACACCCTTTCTATTACGGTTGAACAGTTAGGATGGCTGCCTCCAATTCTGGGCAAAACTATTACTTAACTGTGATGTCTTGCTTGTGTGAAACTCACAGGTATGTGACAGGCCACATCTGGGCCTGCCCACCAAGTGAGGGTGATGATTATATCTTCCACTGTCACCCCCCTGACCAAAAAATCCCCAAACCTAAACGTCTGCAAGAGTGGTACAAGAAGATGTTGGACAAAGCCTTTGCAGAGCGGATCATTCATGATTACAAGGTGAGGATTTCCTCAGAGAATCTGGAGACATTAGTATCTAGATAGGAGTCCTTTCTCTGCAGTTGAAAAGGAAATTAATAATTAGGATGGCTACAGTTTGGGGAGCAAATTAGTGATGCTTTTCTAGATCTGCGTCAATCCAAAATTAAGCACCAACATGTATCTTAGGTTTGGCTAAAGCAAGGGCATTGGATGTGTAAATATGCTTACAATCATAATGAAACACAGAAAACTATTTTAAACCATCCTTTGTTTAAACCAAATGAGAGTATAGTAAGTTAGTTTCAATTTATGTGACGTTTGTTGACTCCTATACTTTTGCCATTGCTCTTAGCTGCACCATCAACAACACCATGTGATCTTTTTCTAGGATATCTTCAAACAAGCAACTGAGGATCGGCTGACAAGTGCCAAGGAGTTGCCCTACTTTGAGGGTGATTTTTGGCCCAATGTATTAGAAGAGAGCATAAAAGAGCTAGAACAGGAGGAGGAAGAAAGAAAAAAGGAAGAAAGCACAGCAGCTAATGAAACAATAGAGGTGACTAAATTGATGGGTGATGTGGCCACATTATGTGAGCTAGATGAACCACAAATTTGTTCAATCCAGAGTTGGAACATACTTTCACTTTCAACTGAGTTACATGCCACATTTCCTTTTAGAAAATCAAAATGGCTTCCAGGGGAGGCTCCCTTCATTTTAACCCCATAGCAAGAACCTGTGGAAGAGTTTGTGCAAGGGGAGAATGACTGAGGGTCAAAATACAGTCTGGTGGTGTTTTGCATGGTGGTGTTTCTGATGTCCCAACTGTTCCAATAATAGATTAAGCTTTAATTTGTAGCTTCTACTTAGGGTTCCCCTCCCCCCTCCATATGTTTGCACAAGCCCATCATGGATTGATTATGCTGATAATTTAGACGGGAAGGCATGATGGAAAGGGTTTTTGTGCTACAGCAACACAGCAGGGAGCCTTGCTTGCCTGCCTCTGTTGCTTTTTAAATTATTTGCTGAGGGAAAGGAGGAGGTGGATCTTTTTAATCCCACCTTGGTTACTTTTATAAATAACTCAAGGCAGTGAACATACTTAGTACACCTTCTTTCTATTCTCCCCACAACAACCCTATGAGGTAGTTGGGCTGAGAGAAAGTGGCTAGCCCGCCCAGCCGGCTTCTGTGCCAGTCTCCTGTGTTCAGATGAGTGGGGAAAATGTGTGTTTCATGCTTATTTTTTGTTATAGGCAAGTAGCCTACAAAAGAAAGCAGGTCAAGAAAGTTTTTTAAACAGGAAGGTACATACAAATATCATTATGACTATAAAGTTAATAATTTTGGTTTGTTTACTGGCTTTGCACTATATTTATATTCTGTTCATGCTCTTGTGCCCAATTCACATTAAATTTCTGGAACAGTTGACAATATATATATATATATATATATGTAGATCTTTGGTTGTTCGGGTTTTCTCCCGCGTAAGATTCGAAGTATCTAGGCAACGTTTCGATGAAGTCTCATTCATCATCTTCAGGCTTCTGTCTCCAGCTCTGTGCTTCTCAGAGTAATGGAGATTGCAGCTGCTTCCTCCTTTTAACTGCCAGTGGGGGTGGGACTTGATTGGGTGGGGGCTTGGCTGTGTTCTGATTGGGTGGGGGGGTGTTCTCATTGGTAGGGGGTTTGGCTGTGTTCTGATTGGTTGGGGGGTTAGCCGTGTTCTGATTGGTTGGAGGCGTGTTCTGTTCAGGAGGGGGCTTGGTTGTGCTCAGGTTAGTTATAGTTGCTGGGGGATTTGAGCTGGAGAGTTGTGATCTTGCTGTTTGGCTTCTAGTTCGTGGTCCTGCTGCATCTTCATAGTGGGTGTCAGTTTGCTTCATGTATGGCTCAGAGGGGTTTGAAGTGGGTAGTGATGCAGCTGCAGTGCAGCTTCTGGTCCATGGTCGTTTCTCATTTTCTGAATGGGTGGGAGTCTGTTTTCTACATGGAAGTGTGGTGGTGGCATCTTGTGTGGCTCTCATGGGTGTGGGTCCAGTGTCCTTCTTCATGTTAGGTACTCGTCTGTTCATGAGGGCGGGTTTCCAAATGGCTGGAAGGCGGGAGGTGTCATCTCGTTTGTTCATGCTGTGTGGGCGTTTTTCTATCTCTATGGCTTCTCTGATTATTCTGCTGTTGAAGTGTTCGGTTTTGGCGATAGTTCTGGTATTTTTAAAATCAATTTCATGTCCTGTGGCTTTGAGGTGTTGGACCAGGGAAGAGGTCGTTTCTTCTTTTTTGATTGAGTTCTTATGTTCTTCAATGCGTGCACTTATTCTTCTGTTAGTTTGTCCAATGTATGTGTTAGGGCAGGCAGTGCAGGGGATTTCGTATACTCCTTGGTTTTCTAATTCGATTTTGTCTTTGGGGTTTCTTAGGATGGTGGATATTTTTTTGTTTGTGCAGAATGCTGTTTTGATGTTGTGTTTTTGGAGGATCTTGCTAATTTTGTCTGTAGTGCCTTTTATATATGGGAGGAGGGCTTTTCCGTTTTCTTGTTCTCTGTCTTGGATTTTGGTAGGGGCTTCTTTTTGGATTAGGTGGGTAATCTTCTTTCTTTGGAATCCATTGGCTGTAAGTACGTTGGTGAGAGTGTGTAGTTCGGTTTTTTGGTGTTGTTCATCGGCTAAGCATTTTGTTCTGGAGATGAGTGTCTTGGCTACGGAATTGATCTGTGCTGGGTGGTGGTGTGAGAGTGCATGTAGATAGCGGTTAGTATGTGTTTTCTTCTGGTAGATGGTGTGTCCTAGGGAGCCATCGGATCTTTTGTATACCAAGACATCCAGGAAGGGAAGTTGATTGTTGGCTTCTGTTTCCATGGTGAATTGTATTTTGGGGTGTAGACTGTTGAGGTATGTGAGGAAGTTGTTCAGTTTTTCTTTCCCGTGTGGCCAGATTATGAAGGTGTCATCTACGTATCTGAGCCAGAGTTTGGGTTTGTGGTCGTATTTTTCTAGAGCTTGTGTTTCAAAGTGTTCCATGTAGAGGTTTGCGATGACAGGTGAGAGGGGTGATCCCATAGGTGCTCCTTCTATTTGTTTGTATTTTTGTCCATTGTAGGTGAAGTAAGTATTGGATAGGCAGTGGTTGGTTAGATCTAGGATGTGCTTGGGGGGGTTGTATTTGTTTTGGATGGCTGTCAAGGCTTCTTTTATTGGCACTTGGGTGAAGAGGGATATGACATCGAAGCTTACTAGTAGGTCGCTAGGTTGTAAGTTTTGTTTCTTTATGATCTCGATGAACTGGAATGAGTTTCTTACGTGTGAGTTGATGGATTCTGCATAGGGTTGTAGTTGTTTGGCAAGAAATTTGGCCAGGTTTTGTAGAGGTGAGCCTATGGAGCTGACTATTGGTCTGAGTGGGGTTCCTTCTTTGTGTATTTTGGGGAGACCATAAAGCTTGGGGCATCTGGATGATTTTTCTCTGGGTATGATTCCTTGCTGGATTTCTTCACTGATGGGGGAGGCTTTTATTTTGGATTTGGTAGTTTTTTCTAGGTAGGTGGTGGGGTCTGTCTTTAGGGGTTTGTATGTGGGGTCTTGGAGTAGGTTGGTTAGCTTGGTTTGGTAGTCAGATGTGTTCATTACCACTGTCGCATTGCCCTTGTCTGCTGGTAGGATTATTATGCTGGTGTCTTCTTTCAGGTTAAGTAGTGCAGTTTGTTCTTCTTTGGATAAGTTGCTTTTGGGTGGTTTGCTAGTGCAGAGGATGTTGGTGATTTCGAGTCTGATTTTGTTAGCATCATCAGGGTTGGTTTTGGTCAGGCTGGTTTCAACTCCACATATGATGGTTTCTGTGGGGATGTGTTTGGGAGCGACAGCAAAGTTGAATCCTTTTGAGAGGATCTTGGTTTCAGCTTCAGTGAGGATCTTGTCTGAGATGTTGTGCACTGTTTGTTTCATGTGTGGCTGTGGGGGGGGAGGAGTTGGTTTCTGGCATTGTTGTAGTTTCCTGAGTTTGTTGGTCTGTGTGTCTGTCTTGAGGATGGTCTGTGTTTCGGCTCTCCAGACAGCGAGTTGTTTGGATTTGTCCCAAAGTAGAGGGTGAATCTTGTTGCTGAGTCTGAGGTGGAGTGTGAGGAGATCTTTGTTGATTTGGTCTAGGAGAAACCTTTTTGTGTGAAGTTCATTTCTAATTAGGGCCAGTTCTGTTCTTTTAAGGATGCGTTTGGTGGCTGCTCTGTTGGTGTGGAATTTCAATTGGAAGCTTGTGGGAATTAAATTTTGATCTCGGCAGTTGCATAGGAATGCAAGGTCACATAAAATGGAGGCTCTTTGGACTTCAAGTTTTTCATAAGTCCTGGTCAGATGGTGGGTTTCCTCCCCGTAGAGGTGCAATATTTGTTTTCTGAGGTTCTCGCGGGTATTTATATGTAGATCTTTGGTTGTTCGGGTTTTCTCCCGCGTAAGATTCGAAGTATCTAGGCAACGTTTCGATGAAGTCTCATTCATCATCTTCAGGCTTCTTGCCAAACAACTACAACCCTATGCAGAATCCATCAACTCACACGTAAGAAACTCATTCCAGTTCATCGAGATCATAAAGAAACAAAACTTACAACCTAGCGACCTACTAGTAAGCTTCGATGTCATATCCCTCTTCACCCAAGTGCCAATAAAAGAAGCCTTGACAGCCATCCAAAACAAATACAACCCCCCCAAGCACATCCTAGATCTAACCAACCACTGCCTATCCAATACTTACTTCACCTACAATGGACAAAAATACAAACAAATAGAAGGAGCACCTATGGGATCACCCCTCTCACCTGTCATCGCAAACCTCTACATGGAACACTTTGAAACACAAGCTCTAGAAAAATACGACCACAAACCCAAACTCTGGCTCAGATACGTAGATGACACCTTCATAATCTGGCCACACGGGAAAGAAAAACTGAACAACTTCCTCACATACCTCAACAGTCTACACCCCAAAATACAATTCACCATGGAAACAGAAGCCAACAATCAACTTCCCTTCCTGGATGTCTTGGTATACAAAAGATCCGATGGCTCCCTAGGACACACCATCTACCAGAAGAAAACACATACTAACCGCTATCTACATGCACTCTCACACCACCACCCAGCACAGATCAATTCCGTAGCCAAGACACTCATCTCCAGAACAAAATGCTTAGCCGATGAACAACACCAAAAAACCGAACTACACACTCTCACCAACGTACTTACAGCCAATGGATTCCAAAGAAAGAAGATTACCCACCTAATCCAAAAAGAAGCCCCTACCAAAATCCAAGACAGAGAACAAGAAAACGGAAAAGCCCTCCTCCCATATATAAAAGGCACTACAGACAAAATTAGCAAGATCCTCCAAAAACACAACATCAAAACAGCATTCTGCACAAACAAAAAAATATCCACCATCCTAAGAAACCCCAAAGACAAAATCGAATTAGAAAACCAAGGAGTATACGAAATCCCCTGCACTGCCTGCCCTAACACATACATTGGACAAACTAACAGAAGAATAAGTGCACGCATTGAAGAACATAAGAACTCAATCAAAAAAGAAGAAACGACCTCTTCCCTGGTCCAACACCTCAAAGCCACAGGACATGAAATTGATTTTAAAAATACCAGAACTATCGCCAAAACCGAACACTTCAACAGCAGAATAATCAGAGAAGCCATAGAGATAGAAAAACGCCCACACAGCATGAACAAACGAGATGACACCTCCCGCCTTCCAGCCATTTGGAAACCCGCCCTCATGAACAGACGAGTACCTAACATGAAGAAGGACACTGGACCCACACCCATGAGAGCCACACAAGATGCCACCACCACACTTCCATGTAGAAAACAGACTCCCACCCATTCAGAAAATGAGAAACGACCATGGACCAGAAGCTGCACTGCAGCTGCATCACTACCCACTTCAAACCCCTCTGAGCCATACATGAAGCAAACTGACACCCACTATGAAGATGCAGCAGGACCACGAACTAGAAGCCAAACAGCAAGATCACAACTCTCCAGCTCAAATCCCCCAGCAACTATAACTAACCTGAGCACAACCAAGCCCCCTCCTGAACAGAACACGCCTCCAACCAATCAGAACACGGCTAACCCCCCAACCAATCAGAACACAGCCAAACCCCCTACCAATGAGAACACCCCCCCACCCAATCAGAACACAGCCAAGCCCCCACCCAATCAAGTCCCACCCCCACTGGCAGTTAAAAGGAGGAAGCAGCTGCAATCTCCATTACTCTGAGAAGCACAGAGCTGGAGACAGAAGCCTGAAGATGATGAATGAGACTTCATCGAAACGTTGCCTAGATACTTCGAATCTTACGCGGGAGAAAACCCGAACAACCAAAGATCTACATATAAATACCCGCGAGAACCTCAGAAAACATATATATATATATATATATATATTTGGTTTTAAAATATTGATATTCATAAAAGAGTAAAGCAATAGTTTACTTCAGTTTTATTTTTTACAGCTGCAGAACACAAGCGGGTAGCAAAGAGAACTAGTTCAGTTAAAATGAAAGAAAAACCATGTAATTCATTGGGATTTTTTTGTTTAATTATGACCGTGGCCAGTTTTTCTGAACTTGATGGGCCAAAAGTAGCACAGGCTGCTCCCTCTGTCTATTATAGATGCAAGAAGGAAAAAGGTTCCTTCTGCAATTAAAGGACTGTCCGCAGTCCTGCTGAGAGGTATATATTTTTCTTATAGAAAATCAGTGTATTATTGTGGGGAATCACTTTCGTTTAGCTTGTCTGATTTTCCCTTGCCCACTCCTCCTAGCAAGCAGGTGTTCTCTTCACACATGCCTTGAAAGAGGAAGAGTTGAGCAGCTTCCTGATGTTTTAACAGGGAAGCCAGGGTGACAGCAAGAATGCCAAGAAGAAGAATAATAAGAAAACAAACAAGAATAAGAGCAGCCTTAGCCGAGCCAACAAGAAGAAACCCTCCATGCCTAACGTGTCGAATGATTTGTCTCAGAAGCTGTATGCCACAATGGAGAAACATAAAGAGGTACTATGTCCAAGCCCTTCTCATTTCCTTTTTTTGCAGTCACATTTGCAAAATTTAATGTTACAAAAGAGAGAGGGAGGGAAGTAGACCACATTAAGTAATGTGGTATCTTGGCGACTTGGCAGTTCTCATTGTTGGAGATGGTCTTGTGCTCACCTCTTCCTTTGCCTTCACATGGCAGGTCTTCTTTGTAATTCACCTACATGCGGGGCCCGTCATCAACACCTTACCCCCCATTGTGGATCCAGACCCGTTACTTAGTTGTGATCTGATGGATGGCCGGGATGCCTTCCTCACTTTAGCAAGGGACAAGCACTGGGAGTTTTCCTCATTACGTCGCTCCAAGTGGTCCACTCTGTGCATGCTTGTGGAGCTGCACACCCAGGGGCAAGATCGTTTTGTTTATACCTGCAATGAGTGTAAACATCATGTGGAAACACGGTGGCATTGCACTGTCTGTGACGTAAGTATATGTTGCCTGCTGTGATGCTACTCCAGGTTTGAATTGGCCTGCAAACCTGTCTCTTCTTTTCTACAAAACTTTTAAAAATAATATATGATTATGATTAATACATAATATATAATAACACAACTGTGGGCCCAATTATTATGATTTGAGCATCAGTTTTACACAATGAAGAAAGCCATAGTAACACTTCCCTATGTGGGAATTCTGTAAGAATCCTATTTTCTGAGCAAGGCTGTTCTGTATTAGTGGCCACTGGAGTTCTTCATTATGTTCTTGATAATTGAATGACTTTTAATAGAACTAAAACTGTGACAGATGGAATGTCTGAGGTACATGCACCTAGTTTCAACAAACTCTTCCCTATTCTTTTATGCAGGAGAACTGCATGCATACATACTTTTTCACATGGTAGGTTGTTGATCTTGATATCTCTCACTTTGCTTTTCAGGATTACGACCTCTGCATTAACTGCTATAACAGCAAGAGCCATGAGCATAAGATGCTGAAGTGGGGCTTGGGCCTGGATGATGACGGGAACAGCCAAGGGGAACAGCAGTCCAAGAGCCCCCAGGAATCCCGTCGGCTCAGCATCCAGCGATGCATTCAATCTTTAGTGCACGCTTGCCAGTGTCGCAATGCAAATTGTTCATTGCCATCCTGCCAGAAGATGAAGCGTGTTGTCCAGCACACCAAAGGCTGCAAGCGCAAGACCAATGGAGGCTGTCCTGTGTGCAAACAGCTGATTGCTCTTTGTTGCTACCATGCCAAACACTGCCAAGAGAACAAATGCCCAGTGCCCTTCTGCCTCAACATCAAGCATAAGCTCCGGCAGCAGCAGATCCAACACCGTCTGCAGCAGGCGCAGTTGATTCGCCGCAGGATGGCAACCATGACCACCCGAAACGTGCCTCAGCAGAATTTGCCTTCTCCTACCTCAGCAACACCTGGGACCCCGACACAGCAGCCAAGCACCCCACAGACTCCTCAGCCCCCTCCCCAGCCTTCCCCCATTAGCATGTCACCAGCGGCTTTTCCTACTGTAGGGAGAACGCCAGCGCCCCCTCCCATTTCAGCAGGCAAGCCTTCCAACCAGGTGGCTGCTCCACCTCCGCCTGCCCAACCCCCACCAGGAGCTGTGGAAGCAGCCCGGCAGATTGAAATCGAAGCAGCCCAACAGCAGCAGCAGCAGCACCAGCAGCAGCAGCAGCAGCAACTCTACCGGGTGAGCAGCAATGGCTTGCCTCCAGGCCGAACAGGAATGGTGAGCACAGCAGTGGGGGCGGTCAATCCCATGCAGCAGGCTGGCATGAATGTGCCCCGACCTAACTCCGTCAGTGGCCCAATATTGCCCAACCTGCAGCCTGGGCAGTGGCAGTCATCAGCTCCGGTGCCCCAACAGCAGCCAGGAATGCCAAGGCCAGTCCTGGCCATGCCTGGCCAACAAACAGTAACTGGCCCAAGGATGCCAGGCGTACAGCCACCAACCCGAACGATTCCTCCAAATGCTTTGCAAGAGTTACTGCGGACTTTGAAATCTCCCAGTTCCCCACAGCAGCAGCAACAGGTGCTGAATATTTTGAAGTCGAACCCACAGCTCATGGCAGCTTTTATAAAGCAGAGAACAGCCAAATACGTAGCAAACCAGCCTGGCATGCAGCCCCAGCCTAGCATTCAACCCCAGACAGGCATGCCACAAACTCCAAGTCCACTGCAGCAGCCACCTCCACCAGCAGGGTTGCATGCTCAAACAGGCCTGCAGAATCTGAGTGCACTGCCAGCAGGTGTCCCACGACCAGGGGTCCCACCCCAGCAGCCAGCCATAGGAGGCCTGGCTGCACAGGGCCAGTCAATCAGCATCATGAATCCAGCTCACAATCCGGCTATGGCCAACATGAGTCCTCAGTACAGGGAGATCTTGAGAAGACAATTACTGCAACAGCAGCAGCAGCAGCAGCAGCAGCAGCAGCAAGGTGGAGCTGGGCTGGCCACTCACAGCCAGTTCCCGCAGCCTCCAGGCCCTGGAGTTTATGCCCAAGCCATTCAGCAGCAGCGGATGCAGCAGCAGCAGCAGCAGCATCTTTCAATCCAAGCAGGGGCCATGGGGCAGCTAGCTCAGATGGGACAGCTGAATCCTATGGGGCAGCCAGCCATGGGAGCCGATAGCAGCCCTAACATCCAGCAAGCTCTGCAGCAGCGACTCCTGCAACAACAGCAGCAGCAGCAGCAGCAGCAGCAGCAACTTAAACCACAAATGGGCTCCCCAGGCCAGCCAAATTCCATGAGCCCCCAACAGCATCTGCTCTCAGGACAAGCCCCCCCATCCCACCTCCCTGGCCAACCAATCAATGCCTCCCTCAGCAGCCAGGTGCGCTCTCCAGCACCTGTTCAGTCCCCCAGGCCCCAATCCCAGCCACCACATTCCAGCCCATCCCCCAGGATTCAGCCCCAGCCTTCTCCTCACCATGCCTCACCGCAGACTGGCTCACCTCATCCTGGGTTGGCTGTTACAATGGCTGGCTCCATGGAACAGGGACACTTGGGCAACCCAGAGCAGAGTGCAATGCTTCCCCAGCTCAACCCTCCAAATAGGAACGTGTTACCAAATGAGCTGTCCCTGGTTGGTGATACCACAGGAGGTGACACACTAGAAAAATTTGTGGAGGGCTTGTAGCATCCCATAGTTTCTCATGTTCCTGGACTTCTTGAACTGAAAAAGACTTGTAGCTCAAGCTAAACCCTAGATGGGACTGATTCATCCTCTACCTGTGAATAGATGAATGGCTGTTTAAAAAAAAAAGAGAATATATATTTTTTTGTTAAAGCCAGCCAGGTGTGGTTAAAATATCTGGTCTCCTTGTTGTGGGTTTTTTTTAGTTGTTATTGTTGACTTTACTTTTTTAAAGGGGAAAATGTGTCCATTATATTCATATTTTTTATTTGTACTTTCAAGACTAAGCAGCGGTGTTTAGCAAAGGAGAAAAATATTCACATTCTAATGTATCTTGCTACATTTCTGACATTTGGCAGAAAGTTTTGTTTTGTTTTAGTCTTATTCGATTCTGGATTTTGCAAGTATCCTAAGTATTACTACCCCTTGGAAAGATAGGAACTGACTCTTGCACACATGGACACACATTGCAGATGTAGAAATTGTTGCTTGTTTTTCTCTGATAAAACTGGTTTTAGATTTTAAAAAAAATAGGGACACTCACTACTTAGGACATATTAATTTTAACAGGGAAGAAGTGTATTCTGTAATTCTTTGATGTGAACTTGAACTGAGGAAAAGCAATTACAGTGTAAATCATGCAAACTATTATTACTATAAATATGAACAATTCAAGATTCAATCACTGTATAGAGGGGGGAACAAACTCATTTCTTACTTCTATAGCATATTGTTAAATAAACTGTGTGCAACAGACAAAAAGGATGTCCTTGAATTCATGTACATGGTATTAACAGTGTTTGGATTTTTTGTTATGAAAATGCTGTTTTCAACATTGTATTTGGACTATGCATGTCTTTTTTCCATTGTATATAAAGTATTGCTTAAAAGTGATATAAATTACTGAAGTTTTTAAAATGTTTCTGTCCTTTAAATCCATGTAAGATTGTCAAGTTTGTATTTGATTGTGTGCCAGTGCAAGTATAGGAATATAGGTTTGAGTTCATTGAAAGGCATCCAGTAAGGAAGTAGTACTCATACTTGGCTGTACTAATTCGTAAGAATTAACAGAAGGAAAGAGAAGTATTCCTTTTTAAAAAAACACATTTTGGGGAAGGAACACCAGTTTGACTGAAATAGATGCTTCCTAAAGTAAAATCGAAGAACAAGGTTTTCTGTGCAATAACAATGAAGAAACTACACAACAGATTCAGAAGGGACAACATCATCTCTTTCTATTGATTTTCTCAGCCTGGTTCTATCTACGATATCCCTTACGAGGATGGCTATACTGTTTTTGAGGGGAACAAAATTGGGCTTCTTACTCTGCCTCATACATTATCACTCATGATGGGTTTTGTCAGATACCATAACTAACAATTGTATCTAATGTATTACAGTTTCAATGTAACTGAAAATACCACATAGGTTGTACACCAAATACAGAGAAATCCTTCCTCAGGCGAAGAGTGGTGGTGGTGGTGGTATGGAAATCATGTAAAACCTCTTACATAGGGGCATGACATGTTAATGTTCATTTATTTAATAAACACGCCTGCCCATCTTATATACATGACTCTGGGCAGTAACGATTAAAAACGTTGCAATGTGGGACCAATGACATTTTTAAAAGATTTATTCACATTTAGTACATAAAATGATTTCTTGTTTTTTAACAGGGAAAGTAAGTAATGAAATCAATTATATAATTTAAACAGTCTAAAATAAGACATGCATTACCACCCCTCTCTGCAAGTATTAACAGTTTTGATCCTCCAGTCCTCCCAAATCTTTGAGAAGCAAGAATTTAGAGTGTTCAGTAAAAATGCCGCCTTCTCACATCACATCATCTTGCTCTCTTCTTCCCAGTTTTGCTTTTTTTACACACCACCACCTCCCGGGAGGCAATTTTGTAGTAAATTACTTGGGTGGTACTCAGGCAACATAAACTTGAAAGTTGTCTTTACAAATGGAGGAGTATGCTTTTTCCTCCACCATCAGCCAGCCACAGGGCAAAGATACTTCTTGGCCTTAACCGGTCATTCCAACAGGCACGCTGAAATCATTCCTCAGGATTGGATGGAAGTGACCAACTCTGACATCAAGCAGCTCAAATCCTCAATTTGGGCAACAAGGCAGTTTTGACTTAACCAAATTAAGCATGACCTGACCCCATCAGTCTGTGGAAAACTCTGCATTTAAATCCACAGAAAACATCTTTTATTACCAAATAGGGACAACCCATATCTAAGTCAATGAGAAAATGGACTGCCCCTGTAATCAGCACACCTGTACAAAGCTGCTCTAAGGATGCAGACTATCCACTGTCCAAAGTTTGGCTAAAAGGGACCAAACACACTCCAAACCCCCAACACAAATTATTTCCCCCCTGCTTCCCCCTCAAAAAAGGACTGAGCGAAGAAAAACATGTAAACATGAAAATGAACTGACTGGAAAGCTGCAGAGGAAAAAAACTTCCAGGAGTTCACCTTTTGGAAGAATATCAAATAGCCAAAGGGCTTAGCATCAACTTTGCCCTTTTTTCTTGCATCTGTGCAGGTGGTGTTTTCTCTCTCTCCGAGTTTCTGCAGTGGTAAACGTGATGCCGTTGGTATCCAAAAAGTCCAACAACTTGTCCAATGCAATCCTCATGCCATTCTGCTTTAGTTCTGCATGCAGTACAGACAGTTTAATGGGCTGATATAGCAGAATTTGCTGGCAAAGAGATGGGTTGGAATGAATATAGTGCTTCAAGATTTCCAGTTTCTGATCCTCACCACTAGCGGCAATCTGAGAAGCAAGTACATTTTCCTCTTTCTCTGCCAGCATGCTGATTTTACACTCCGTGGATGAACTAGAAACAGGATGAGAAAGGAAAAGGCATTACGATACCTAGACAATCTCTTAAATTTACCTTATTTTTTAAAAAGGTGGGTACTTGGTATAACCCAGACTACTACACACATCCACTACACAGCGTCAACATAACCGTTCCAATTTAAGGCTAACTAAAGGTAGAGAATATGGCTGTCTGAGGACAGGGGATGGACAGGTGATTTTCAAAGTTCTTGCCTTCATTCCTCAGCATCTGGTGAAACATGTCAACAGCCTAAAAAGTCAGAATGGAAGAATGAACACATCTGCTCCTATACCTTTGAGATGCTGCATAAGTCTTACTTCCAGCTCCTGTTGTGCCAGCTGACGCTTCAGAAGTTGTCAGGATTAAATCTCCATCACCCTCTCCATCAATTAATCTGTTTGCAGGAAGAGCAGCTCCCTTCGGCCACGCAAGTCCAGCCTGTGGCCTCTGAGCATCTCCTTCAGAGAGATCTATATGTTTAGTTCTATTTGGGCTCCCCTGAAGCAGTCGATAAGGAGAAAGACATTTTTGCTGCAGTTTCCAAAAGGAACTGGTAGAAACCGGCACAGTTTTTTTCTTAGAGTCGGTTCCTGCCTGTTGGTGAGTAAACTGAAAAATTTCCTTCAGTTTTAAAATCATCTGCCGTTTTGGGAGAGCACGAACACCAAATCTAAGGAAAAAGGAGGCCAAATCACAATTTGCATGTAAGCACAACCTGTAAAGTATTTTTGCAAGTTCTTGCCTACAGAAGGGTCCTGCTTCAATCCCGACAGCACCCACCTGCTCAATTCCTTCTTCAGTTCTGGGGTGTCCATGCTTGAATAAGGTGGAAAGGGCATGAGCGGAGTAACACAAGAGACGTCCCTGGCTTGGCAGGCAAGATCTGTAACTGATCAAAATAAATCAAATCAGCCACGTGGGCTATACTCTGCTGCAAAACCTGTCTATCACCACCATACATACTGCACTTATTACTCCACAGTAAAATCATTCCAAACCTCTGGGAAGACTGCTATCAGATATTAATCCCCATCATGCACAATTTTTTTAAAATAAAAAAAATTCAACAGTTAATTAGAAAAGTGCTTTAGAAAGGAGGAAGCCAAAACTGAATTTCTAGATTGTTGCTCCCCTCTCAGAATCTACAGGAAATAGGACACATCCAAAGATCACTGTCTTTTGCAAAACTAAGGACCCAATGCAGCTTAGCCAGGATTCTGGTCTCGCACTTCAGTGTGAATATTCATCGAGCTTCAAAGGACTTGACAGCTAACTAACTAAGTAACTGGGGTTTTTTTGGCCATGTTACAAAGTAGCCTTAACTGTCAAAGAAGTTGTCATAACTGACCCAAAGCAGCAACTTACCAGAAACTGTTGGAACAGGTATGGAAGCAGACAAACTTGAGGAGGCAGGAAGAGCTTCATTGCTATCAGAGTCTTCTCCAGGCCTATTTTGAGAGTTGTGCAGTAGCAAATCTCCCATTCCAAAATGGAATGTAGCTGCTGTATTAGTTACACTACTAGCAACAGTCACAGGGTGATTGTTCTGCATGTCAAACATGTGCACAGAAGTCCTCAAAGGATTTCTGGCATTTGCAATTATTACCTCCAAAGGTTCTACAAAGATGCCCCTTGAACATAGTGGCACTGCTTCCTGCTCCTCCTCATTATCATCCACAACCACCACATCTCTCTCTGCTGCACACAGGCCATTGTCAGATTTCACTATTTCGAGCAAAGAGGTAGATGAAAGCACTGGCAGAGGTTTATAGTTGCAAGACAGTTCTGTCTGGGTTTCATAAGTCCATTGTTTTTCAAGGGAAGAATTCAACCTGGATTTTTCAACCTGCACATCATCCAAGCTATTCCAGACTTCCACGGGAGTTTCGGGCACCACCAATGTCCTTTCTTCACTCCAGCCTAAACCTCCCCAGAAGCTGCCTTCTTTGTGATTACTCAGGTCCAAGGGCTGATGGCATTCACCCAAAGATTGTGCCTCATTACACGTTAGTGTGCCCAATCCATCTCCCACTTTACTTACATCCTGCTGGGGAGTGGCTGGGCTCCAGCAGTTCATGACATCACCAACAGGGCTCTCTTTATGCCATGAGTGTTGCTCAGAGAAGCTTGAAGCGGCCTCTGCCTGTTTCTTTTCTGCCTTCTGCTCCAGCTCTTCATCAGAATCCAGTACTACAATATGGTCACTCGTCATGTTCAGATCATGAGGATTCCCCACACCAGACTTCTCTAGGCTGCCAATAGGAGCCTCTCCCTTCCTGTTTATATTCTCTTGCTTATCATTTTGAGAGAGAAGCCTATCTAATATGTTTGGTTGTGATGCAGATGTTATTGGAGAGAAAGGAACTTCTAGGTCTCTTGGCAAAGTCATCTGGAGATCTTTTGCTGGCACTTGAAAAAATCTTGGAGAATTTCTTGCTGTAATTTCATCTTTGGCTGTGTTAATATTCTTCTCCCACAGAGAACAACAGTTCGTTTCTGACACAGAAAATTGGGCTGCAGATCTCTCCAGATGATTACTATGAGTGGAATCCCCAGCTAACCTGAGATGAATCTCACTTGTGGGCTCTTTTCTAGTACTTGCTCCGAAGGACACTATTTCCTTAAAATCTCGCTGGAACTCAACAGAATACTT